GCCAAGACGCTCTGCAGGCCAGACTGGGAGGGGGATCGTAACCCCGACGGGGCGGGGGCGACGCTGGGAAGAAGGGTCCTGCCACCTAGAGCCTGAGAGCGTGTGGACACCGCCAGAGCAAGTGTCCGACCCGCAGCGTCCCTGCAGCACAGCCAGGGCTGGAGAAGGAGACCTGGGACGTGTGGGGAACAGACTGAACTTCCCTGGCATTGCAGAGACGCTGGTTGTGCTGTCCCCGTGCCACAGAGCAGGGTGATGTGTTTTCCTTTCACCTTTCCCATTTCCCCCTTGTTTGTCTATATTGGTTGCTGTTTAATACATTGTACATTTGCTTTGAACTCTCTGGCTGGGTATCACTGCATGTATATCAGTGGGCCAGGGAAGTGCCCAGTGCAGAGAGAGCACCCGGAGTGGGGACACCCCAGCCCCGCCCTAAGTGACCACGACAAGGTTGGGGGTTGAGCCCCCAGGAATCCTGGGACCAGCCTCGTCGGGGTTATGAGGACTCTGCCACACAGGAGAGTGGAAGGGGAGCCTTGAGGTCAGGCAGCCTCTGGGGAAAGGGAGTGGGAGCGAGGACTCAGATCCTTCCACTAGCCCATTTCACCAGGATAGTGTATAAACCAGGGAAGTTCCCCACAATAGTGGGACCATCCCCCACTTCCATAATCCCTGAGCAGCGGAGATCTCACTGCCGGGGAACCCAGTGGGACCAGCGTCCCCTCCTTGGTACCTGAGGGGGCAGCTCCTGCCCAGGGCCAGCTCAGCCTGCAGGGGCGGGGAGGGAAGGGGGGGGGCTTGTGTGGCTGAGGCTGGGGGTGTCAGGGAGCTGCCACCAGCAGGCACAGACCAGGCTTCCTCACGCTAAGGGCAGGTGGTAGCGACGTGCCTCACAGCCCTGGGTACCGCCAGGGACCATCACACACACCAGCTGGGGTCTGTGCCACTGACTGAATGGAGCTACGGCCGATTGACACCAGCTGAGGATGTGGCCCCCTTGACTATAATGGAGCGACAGCGTTTTTCCATTGGGCTGGCTGTACCTATAGGCTCCTTTGGAGATGTTGCTGAGTCTCACCAGCTGGGAACTCTCTCATTCACGGCAAAGACTCTGATACCAGCCCCCTGGTCCAAATGGGCCCTTGGTGTGTTTTAAACTAATGTCTGGAGGTTCTGCGGTGGCTCAGGGAGCCTTTGCACAGACAGGGGCTGACGGGACTGGGGAGGGTTTCCAATCCCCAAACCCTGACCCCATGTGTTGGGTTTTGACCCCGCACTGGCACAAAAAGGGGTAACAGGAGCTGCAGAGCTCGTCACATTGGAATCCTGCAAGTTAGTGACCCCAGGGTCAGCCCCGTGTGTGAGAAGAACAGGCTCTCCGGAGAGGTACCCAGGGAGATCAGGGCTCAGGGAGAGGGTTGGGGCCGCAGAGGGGCCTGGAAAAGAGGGGTCAATGTTAGAAACAGAAGAAGAGTCACACCCAGCAGGGATCTCTGGAAGGACCAGGGACTTTAGGGTGAAATTCATCTCAGAAATTACAGGAGTATTGAGATTTCTCTGTGGGAAACACCCTGCATCCCTGTACCTCACTGAACCCCAAGCCTGCACTGTGCCCTCATGTTACCCAGCAGGAGACAGAGCCTCTCTGTGTGGGATCCACTGGCTTTACTGGGTTGTCTAGTGCACAGCAGGGGGTAAGGGACGGGTAATCTCTGTCTCAGCTGTGAGCATCAGCCGGTCACTCCACTGGGACCAGGGACCTCTTTAGAGACCAAATCCCTGACTTGATAGAGGAACTTTGTATCCTATTGTTTTTTTGCTGCCAGGTGCCGAGCACCTCAGCGGAGCACCTTCCCCTCCGATACACATGGCAATAGGGGATCCTGGCACATTGGCGCCAGCAGGGGGCTGTTGTAACATGATAGAAACCAATCCCTCTCTCGAGAGAAACCATGACCAAGGAATCCAGGCAGCTGCAGGGCTGAAGATTTACAGTGGGTGGCCCTGACAGTGCCCAGCTGTGTCCCTAGCACTGTGAGCCTCCCCACAGCAGTGCCCACCTTACCCAGCATTGTGCTGCATGGCTAACTAGGTAGAGGGAAAACATTGTTTAGTCTTTGCAGAGACACAGAGATCTGGGTGTGAGTAATGCCTAACGGCCTGGGTCTTGGGTCCCCATTCCCATGGAGAGCTCAAGAAGACAATGATCACTCCAAGTGCCTGGACATTTGTTGCCTTGCAACTAATGACCATGGATGGCCCACCCTCTGCAGGAAGGCAGCCAGCATTGACCAACTAGAGAACAAAGCTCCAGCCAGGCTCCTGCGTTAGCGCTGAGGACTGCACTGGGACACTGCTCCCCTTTTTGATAGAAGAATCCGTATCCCGAAAACTGCTCATGCCGAGGAACCAAGCTCCTGAGGGTAGCACACTCCTCTGGGAGATGCACTGTGTACCCGTGGTTCGGAGAGACCATGGAGGCCAGTGGGTGAGCTGGAACAGAGGCAGAGGGATCAGTGGAGAGGGAGAGGCCACAACGGAATGAGGAGATTGGAGAAGGGGGGAAGAGATGAGTCCTGGACAGAAATGATCACAAACCAGGCTCATCTGACTGCACGGCACCCACCCCCCATGCTGGGAAATACACCACGGCAAATAAACCACGGCCCCTCTCTCTCTGTCGGGGATCTTTCCATAGATCCCAAGACCAGAATGGACCATTGTGATCATGGAGTCTGACCCCCTGTGTCACCCAAGCCCTAGGACTTCCCTGAATTGATTCCTATGTGACCTAGAGCAGATCTCTGAGAGAAACATTTAGGGCATGGATACACTTGCAGATGTAGAGCGCTGAGAGTTAAACCAGCCTTCAGAAACCACAGCAGGGAAAACACTGACGTGTGTTTACACTGTCAGCTGCAAGCGCACTGGTGTGGCCACATTAGCAGCTCTTGCAACGGCCACAGAGAGCAGTGCATTGTGGTAGCTATCCCAGCAGGCAAGTGGCTGCAACGTGCTTCTCAAATGGTGGTCGTGCGGAGGGTGGAGTGTGACAGGCAGTGTGTTGTGTGTATGTGGGGGGAGAGACAGTGTGTTTTGGGGGGCTGAGAGTGTGTCAGCATGCTGTCTTGTAAGTTCAGACAGCAGCAGACCCCCTCCTCCCCCTCATACACACTCACAACAAGAGCATTCCACACTAACGGTTGCTTTGTCGTGGAGCCGGTAAGCATGTGGGCTGTCAGAAACAGAGCTTTCAAAACAATGGGAAGAGAGGCCACTTGACTTGAGGGGATTATGGGACGTTTCCGGAGGCCAATCACAGCGCAGTAATGCAAGACCTCGTTCACACTGACGCATGGGCATTTCAGTCAGGGCTCAGCAAGCTTTATGCTTCTCGTAGAGGTGGATTACCAGGAGCTCTCCAGCTGCAGAATCCAGGCCCTCTATGTGCCTTGCCAGTGTGGACACATCAGGAGTTAGGGCACCCAGGGCTGCTTTAATGCGCTCTCACTTGCAGGTGTAGACAAGCCCTCAGGCTTGATTCAGAAGTTGCCAGCGCTGGAGAATCCACCACGACCCCTGGGGAACTGTCCCAGTGGTGAATTTCCCTCACTGCTAAAATCTGCGCCTTATTTCCTGCCTGAATTTGTCTAGCTCCAGCTTCCAGGCACTGGGTCGTGTTAGATCTTTGTCTGTCGATTGCCCAATTTCTGTTCCCATGTATGAACTGCTAGACTGTGATCAACTCCCTCTGAACTTTCTCTTTGTTACACTAAACACATCCAGCTCCTGGAGTCTCTCACTATAAGATGGACCCGCTCTTTGTGTGGCTGGGCAAATTCCAGCTCCCCCCATCTGTGAAACTTAACACCCCCCATCCCACAGCCTGCTCCCCCCATATCCTCCCACTGACCCCAAATCTGCTGCTCCACCATTCTGTGCACGGAGGAGATGACAGGGTGGGTGGGACTAGACTGTTGCGAGGAGCAATTCAGGGAAAAGGGCAGGAGTCAAGGAGAGAATCTGCCTTTCTCACCAGGGATTAGGGGCATGAGCAGCAGAGCTGGGGGGGGAAGGGTTCTTCATGTGCCTGGGGAGCACCAGGACCCCCTCTGTGTCCATCCTGGGGGAGCGGGTGAGGAGATGATGAGCATAGGAGGGTCCTTAATCCACCTGGGGCACCTGAAGATCCCCCTCTCTCCCTCCTGGAGAAAGGGGGTTCAAATAGGGGCATGGTTATAAATGCAAATATTCACCCCAAGTTCTCTGTCTGGGGGAGGGGAAGAATAGAGGGAAGAGCCCATCAGCCGGCCATGAGACCTGCCGAGCTGTAGCTAGAAGGCTTCAAAGAGAAAGAGAAATGAGGAAGCTCAGGCGGATGAGGGGAAGGGAGGGGGGAGTTTTTCTACCCACCGCATTTCCTCTGGGGTCTCTGCAGACCCTGCTGTTAATGTTCTGCTGGGCAGTGCTGGGTCTCTGCCCCCTGACCCTGAGCCCTGTGTGGGAGCCCAGAGCTGGGGTAGGGAGAGCTCCCACCTCCACACAGCCCCAATGGGCCCCTGCCTGCGGGGGACTCAGTGTAATGGGGAGGTGGGTGCTCAGTCTCCACAGCCCGTCCAGCCCTCGCTCTCTCCACTAAGGCTGCCAATGAGGGGCTGGGTAGAGCCCATGGGGACGGGGGATCTTCTTCACTACAGCCTGTGCTGGGACCCGCCACATGGACCCCCACAAACTGCCATCAGCTGAGGTCGCTCTCCCACCCCCATGGATGTGACTCTGAAGTGGAGCTGCGGCTGCTGCAGGTTCCACAGGAGACACCTGTGAATGGGGCAGCCTGACCCACTCAGTGAATGACATGAGGGCACCCGGGGATCCCCTGTTCTTTGGAATGCCAAACATCACACACATTGCGATAGGAGGGGGATCCGTGCCACCACCCCCATTGTCCAAGACCCCACCCCCACCGCGAGCATCTCAGCAAGGACAGGAGACGTTGTTACCTTGAGGGGACACCGGCCTGGGGAGCATCTGGAGAGAGGCTGGAAGAGAAGAGAAGAGCGGGGGTGAGAGCTCTGGGGGGAGAATGAAGGGTGTAGAGGGATGGAGGGACGTGGGTGGGAGGATCACCAGGCAGACTGACTGAGGGAGGGATGTGGACCAAGGAAAGTAACTTACCCAGCAGAGGCAGAAGGTGAGTTAGCGCCATGCTGAGCTGACTCTATGCATCCGAAGAAGTGAGGTTTTTACTCACGAAAGCTTATGCCCAAATAAATCTGTTAGTCTTTAAGGTGCCACCAGACTCCTTGTTGTTTATGCTGAGCTGGTCGCTCTGGGCTCGGAGCTGGGTTCTTAGCTCAGCCACCGGCCCCGTCTGGACGCAGGGAGGGGAACGGGCTCCTCCTCTCTGACGAAGGCAGAGGAAGTCACAGCCTCAGGCGTGGTCACCGCTCAGCTCAGGGACTGGAGAGACACTGGTTCCTTATCAAGTATCGGGGGTAGCCGTGTTAGTCTGTATCTACAAAAACAACAGGGAGTCTGGTGGCACCTTAAAGACTAAGAGATTTATTTGGGCATAAGCTTTCGTGGGTAAAAACCTCACTTCTTCAGATGCATAGAGTGAAAGTTACAGATGCAGGCATTATATACTGACACATGGAGAGCAGGGAGTTACTTCGCAAGTGGAGAACCAGTGTTGACAGGGCCAATTCAATCAGGATGGATGTAGTCCACTCCCAATAATAGATGAGGAGGTGTCAACTCCAGGAGAGGAAAAGCTGCTTCTGTAATGAGCGAGCCCCTCCCAGTCCCTATTCAAGCCCAGAT